GATGATAAAACACAAATGACTGAGAAAAATGTCCAACATTCTGTTCTTGGTTTTTCAAGACAGGGTTTCTCTGTTACTCTAGCTGTCTTGTAATTCACTCTGTAGAACAGGGTGGCCTCAGACCCAGAGATCTGCCTGTCTCTGCCCCCCAACCCCAAGTGCTGGGATTAAAGTTGTAGTATATGTCACCACCACCTGATGTTGTGTGTGTGCGTTGTGTGTTCATATCTGCATGTGTGTGTTTGAGAGAGAGAGAGAGAGAGACTGACCTGTGGCTCCCATTCGGAAGTCAGAGCATTACCTTTAGGTGACAATCCCCTCCTATTAAAAGGGTCTTGGGCATAAACCAGGCCTTCAGCTAGCAGGTAGGAGGCTTCACTTTTTAAGCCATCCCACAAACCCTCAAGACCCACTCTTGATGGCAAATAAGTATGATAGGATAGGAAACATTTTCTTTAAAATACACTTGACAACTTAAGACAGTTATAAAGCAGCAGGTGTTGTCCAGAAAATCATTTCTCCAAAGTTGTGAAATCTCTGCTGTTTTGTACCTAAGCATCACTTCCATGATTTTCCCAGAGTCACAAAATTGGGAAAATTACAGAAGATGTAGACCAAAGTCTCTGGTTTCATTATGGTTTTAACCATTGTTCCTTAGTGCACCAAGAATAATCAAAATGAATGAGTATATCAATCACAGGAAACAAAATAAGGGTTAATTACTGAAGGAAAGGAAGGGACGTGGAAGAAAGTTGAGAACAACCACTAGTAGTTAACTCTAAGTTGTGGGCTGCTGACATTAAAGGCTGTCTGGGCCTCTCATGATAGCTTCTTGCCAGGACCCTGAGGCAGACATAAGAAACCAGCTGTGTGCCAGTACTTTATTTGGGCCACTTTCAGAGAGAGGTTACAGGCTGCTTCCTCTGTGGCTCTAAAGTTCTCCAATCACTTCCTTTTCAGAGTAACCTCTTTCTGTTAACATTTGCTTCAGGGTATCACTTTATTTTGTAATCAATTTTTCCAAGTATATACTGTTCTCCTGGCAGTTACTTTAAAACTACTTTTATACTACAGGCAAGCAAAATTGCATTCACCTGCACCCATGCTTTAGCATGATTTATGAATGTTGTGGTGAGGTAATGGTAGGCATTTATTTGAGAATTTGTAACATTTATGGTTTATTAATTTGAAGAGAGAACCTAGCAGTGTTTCATGATTTAGGTCTAAAACCTTGTGAGCAAAAATTACCTATGGAAAGGGTCAGGGTTGTGTCATCTAGGCTATCTCTAGCTGGCCTGTTCTGTGAAAGGGTCAGGGTTATGTCTTCTATGCTAGCTCTGGCTGGCCTGTTCTGTGAAAGCCACATTACTGCAGGGAAAACACAGCCAACTTGTAACTTCTTGCTATGGCTACTTGTTAACTGCAACAAGACCTGAGTGCGTGTGACACCCGTGTGCACCTCTGTCTTAAGACTGTACTGACTGTCCTTAAGGAAAACTTCATCCTCCCTTGGGCTACCATCAACAGCAGATATGGTTCATGTTTCTACCCTCAATATAAATTTTCTTGGTAAACAGGGATACTGGGACTACACAGACTTAGTTATTGTGAGGGTAGCACTCTTATTTCTGGAAGCAAAGCTTCCGGTTACTAAATAGCTGTCAGCTCTCATGAATCTTGTGATTCGATGACTTTAGAAGAAAGAATACTAAGAGCCAGAGAGGTTGAATACACCACGAGAGCACAGCCCATGAAACCAGCTAAGCAGGGCCCCCAGGGGCTCCCAAAGCTGACACAGTAATCACAGAGCCCATAGAGGTCTATCTTTGGTCCTATGCATATTTATTATGCCTGTTATCTTTATGTTTTGTGGGACTCTTAACAGTGAAAGTGGAGGTATCTCTGTCTCCTTTGCCTTCTCTTGGGAACCTTTTCCACCTACAGCAGAACCTCAACCAGCCTTGAAAAGAGGTTTTGTGCCTATTGTTACTTTATCTCGTGTGTGAAGTTTGTGTGATGTCCCTTGGAGACCTGTTCTTTTATGAAGGGAAATGGAGGAGGGGGAGAGGTAAGAAAGTTTGGAGGGAGGGGAAACTGTAGTCAGGATGTGTTGTATGAGAGAAGAATAAAAAAATAGCTGTTAGCTGCCGCCCAGGTGTAATTAATGGGTGGCACTTAGTATAACACGCTCCTAGCAAGCCAGGGGCCCAGATATTTTCCAAGTAGTGGCTCAGTGGCCTTTGGCTTGTCTTACCCACTCACTGGTCAACTGGTGGAAGACTCACAGAGGATCCACAGGCACTCAAGAGCAAACACATCACTTAGGACTTAGATGTGTTCCTCAATCACTTGTAGGGAGGCTGGAATGGAAACTGCAGAGAGAGAGAATGGAACAGGCAAGAAGCTATCCAGTCTATTGTAGAGACCTTTGGGTGACAGAATTGACAGGATATAATACTTAATGAAATATTAAAAGTTAAAGAAAAGGAGTCAGTTATCATCTAAGCTTTTGGGATGGGGGGCCACATGGAATGTTTGTCACTGTGATGCCAGGAAGTATTGGAGGCTCCTGATGTGGGGAGTAGTAGAATGGTAAGAAATACAAGTTAATTTAATTTTAATATGCAACTTTAGAAACTTTGCAGGCCTTAAATAGAGGCATCACAATTGCATTTTGGAAATATCAGTGACATAACAGAATTAGAGATATAATCTAGGATACAGATCCTAGATTCTTCGAAATGTGAACAGTGAGAAAGAGTAATACAATGAAACCAACTTATGACAGAACATGTGTGAGACTTAAAAGGAGAAAAAGCACATGTGTGTGTAGCACCCATGTGCTACCTGCTTTGGTATGAAGAAGTAGAGGCACAGAAAGAAAAAAGAATATTCTTTGCCTTCTAGCGCAGAGCTGAATCAAAACAGTCAAGGAAATTGTTGGTTATGGGTTATGAAATAAAAGCTGTAAAATACAGAGTGGGAGAATAGAAAAACACATACACAAAGTCAATACAAAATGAATAAATTGTTCTTAATACATCACATGTGTGTGTGCTCCTATCCTTGCTGATGCCTGTCAAATATTTCCTAAAGACTCGTCAAGTGCTCCTGTATATTCACTCCCAGTTTCATGGGCCGACATTTAGTAAATGCTTACTTTGTGAGACATACCATGCTGCTTAATTCATGCTTCATTCCACATCCAAATCTTAAAACAACACTAACTAATATATGTAATACAAGTAATAAAAAACCCAGAGGCAGATATTGGAGTTAAAACTGGAGATCAGAGAAGCAAAGTAGCTGGCCACTAGAGAGTTCTCTCCTCTACCAATGCTCAGACTGAAAGGCAATCCTGTCCTCAGATCACATCACCAGACTGCATCTGTCTCCACCAAATCTCAGACTGCCTTCTGCCTAGACTGCATTGGCCCTTACCAAACCTCAGAATGCCTCTGTGTTCACCAAACCACAGAATGCAATGAGTTCCTGCCTTATATTCCTCCCTCTGCCCACCTGTATCACTCCTGTCTCCACCTCCCTAGAGATGGGACCAAAGGTGTGGCCTGTCTCTCTTTTAGACTGAATCACTCTCATGTAGCCCAGGGAGAACTGGAACTCACATCCATCCATCTGCCTCTGTCTCCTGAGTGCTGGTATTAAAGGTGTGCACCGCCACTGACTGGCCTCTACAGCTGTGACTAGATTTGCACTACAATCTTCAGGAAAGCTTTATTTGTTATTTCATAAACAAAGTGTCACCACCAAGGATATGGGTTACTACTTTTAGTAAATATATGATATATCCATATAGCTTTCAAAAGCTGCATAGAAAGGAGAAGCAGAAGTAAAGATGTGGAAAACCACTCTGCAGGGTCCTCTGTAGCCAACTCTAGCTCCCATTTCTCTTATGGCAGAATGATTCAAAATACCAAATGAGTCCCTTATTAGTTATCTGCTAATTAGGACAGTGGAAGCTGCTATTGAGGACGTAAATAGACAGCTATCATTGTGTGAAACATTACCCATATTTGATAACCGTAGAGCACTGAAGCACACATGAAAAATTTCATTATCAAGTACTTAATTTTTAGAAACTTACAATAGCCTGATAAGTCAGAAAGCTTCTGAAGTGTCACGATTTTAAAGCCTTTGCATATAATTAGTGAAATTAAAGACAGATCTGAACGGTACCAGTCCAGTGATGTCTCAGTGACATCAGTGCCCTCATTGTGCTACACTATAAAAGTATAGTGAACAAGGTTTTTTTTATATATATTTTAAATGCTTATGATTGCCATGACATAGTTTCACACATTCTCCTGTTTTTTTTTCCTATCTTTCCTGTGCTAAAATCTCTGCAAAAAAAAAAAAAAAGACAAATGCATCAAAAGTAAACACATAAAAAAACATTAGTCTCCAAGGAAGATGGTAGAATGTTGAATCCCATAGTTTATACTGTTGTGGAATATTGGTTGAAGATATGTTACATTCATTTACACAGTGGAATATTTCACAAAGATGTGTTGCATTCTTTTATGCTGCATTTATTTAACTCTATAAAGCTGTGTTACTTTGTCTGCCTAAAACACATTATTGGTCTAATAAAGAGATAAAAGGCCAATAGGCAGGCAGAAGGGATCAGTGAGGGTGGCAGACAAAGAGAAAGAAAAATGAGTAGAGGGAGGAGGAAAAATAAGGAAAAGAAGTAGAGGATACCAGGGGCTAGCCACCCAGCCATCCCCCATGGAGAAAGAAGGAAAGAACGATATATACAACAATGGTAAAAACATAGTTAAAGAGAAACAGAATAATTTAAGTTAGAAAAGCTGGCTGGAAAGAACATTCAACCTAAGAAGGGCATTCATAAGTAAGAATAAGTCTCCATGTATTTATAAGGGAGCTTAGTGGAGGACTCCCAGAGAGAGAAAAAAAAACACATTTTATCATCTACATCTTTATGGGTAAAAATAACTGATACATTGGTGAAACCGTTATTTTGACAAAGAAGGAAACAAAATTCAGAAATTGTTTTAATAGCATAATCAGGAAATATATTATAATTCAACATATGAAATTGGGTAATTAAAAATTTTACTGAATATGATATCTTTAAAAAATTCAGCAATAAAGAAGGAAAGTAGCAGAAAATTTGAAAATAGTTTCATAACTTGTCATCCTCAGAGCCTATGTAACTCTACAGGCTTTTAAAGACTTTTTGAAGAAGTCACACAGCTTTGACTTATTTTTGAACTGACAGGTATATAACAAGTGCAAAGTCAGCCAGTTGTGTAATATAATCTGTATGAAAAACTCAACTCTCTTCTCTTTCAACCTGAACACATTCATGCCCAGACACACTTGGGTAGAGCGTATCTTCCATGTATTATTTCAAGATCCTTTCAATAAAAATAGGGTCACAATTTACAGTTTTCGTCATCTGTGAACTGGTACTAGTTCATTCTTAGGCTCTTTTATAAGACTTAGATGTGTAATTTGTCCTAATATAGTCAGCCTTTGCTTTAGCCTCCTCTAGTCTTGCCAAGGCCTTTTGAAAGATGAGTGTATCAATAACAAACTTCTCTTCAGAGTGTCTTTTCCGAATTTCTTCAGCCCTGTGAGGGAAAAAATGAAGAGTAAAACCATACAAACTGGGTTGCTGTGAATGAATTTAGATATTTTTCAAACAGGCATTTATTAACAGGGAAAGGACAGAGTTCAGCCTATGTAATATTATTACATTACAAAATGATAGTCAATTCATGTTATACTAAGATTTATGAGATTTCATTGCAAAAAAAAAACCTGAAAATCCACCCACAGTTCTGCTTAGATTTCTCCCAAAGCACCCCCAATTCCTGTGTTATGAACAGCATAACTTCTCCCAGAAATTCAGAAAGTCCGAGCTTCCTTCTACCCTTCTACAAGGGAAAGAATGTCTTCCCTCAGAATTTCACAGTTACAGCCACTACCTGGCCAGTACCTTAGCATGTCACTGTATTTGGAGATGGGACTTTTGACAGGCAACTGTGGCTTAATGAGATCATGTGGATGGATTCAAATCCAATATGGCTAATTCTCTGAAGAGAAAGAGAACACACACTAGTAATGGGTGCTCAGGTGAGAACACAAGATTACACCTGGGAAATGTCAAAGGATAGAAAATTCATCCACTCATTCCAATTCATTCATTCATTCATTCATTCATTCATTCATTCATTCATTCATTCATTTTAAAGTATGACAGTATCTCCACATGCTTTGAACAGAAATAAGAATAAATAGAAAGGTATCCTCAAAAAAGGTACACAGGAAATTAAGAGAAAGATGCAGTGAATGCTTGCATCAAATGTCTTACTAAAACAAGAAACTTATTTCAGAACAAGGCAAAGAAAGACAAGAAATGAGGTAAAAATTGATAATGAGTAGAGAGAATACAAAATGAGATTCAAACATACCACACCCCCACACACCCCACACACATACACACATCACACACCACACTCCCCCACACTTCCAGGCAGAGCATTAGAGACAGATCATTTTTGTCAGAACTATTTCCTATTATAGCATGAATATCTGAAACTGAGGCAGAGAGAGCAGCATATCACCCTATGCCCTGAGAGCTGAAAGACGTCACTCTTTCTGCCCCTTTCAGTTCTGGGGGAAAGACTCAGATTGATTCATGAAGTACTACATTCCTACCATGGGTATGATCAGAAATCTAGACCCTGGGAGTGGGTTTAAAAAGTGAATTATAAGCTTTCAACTTACTAACTCGATTTTGAATGAGCTCTTCAAATTTTCTCTACCTCATCTTTAAGAAATAGATCATCATGATGGGTGATGGTGGTGCAAGCCTTTAATCCCAGCACTCGGGAGGCAGAGGTAGGTGGATCTCTGTGAGTCCCAGGCCAGCTTGGTCTACAGAGAGAGTTCTAGGACAGCCTCCAAAGCCATAGAGAAACCCTGTCTCGAAGCCAACCCCCCCAAAAAAAGAAAAAAAGAAATGGATATTCTAATTCATAGAGATCATTCAATAAAAGACAAAAATAAGAAATGAGTTACAAATTGTACATTCTTTGAAGAGAGATGGTCTGGCATTTAATGAGTCCCTTACTGCATAGTTAACAGAAAGCATAGAGGGGGGCATCAAGTGAGAAAGACCTTACAGTTGGTTATCACGGCTATCCCTGTGGTCACTTCCAGAGAGCTGAATATGGAGAAACTGTGGCGAGACATAGCAAGTCAGCTTGGACAGCCCATCTTCTGGTATATAAAATCTGCCTTTGAAATTTAAAGATTGTAATTTTGGGTGCATTATTTAAGCTGTGTGTGTCTGTTTTCTTCATCTTTATAAAGAGGACAATGCAGCTCAGACACATAGTAAGAAACAACTGAACAGAACAGAGTACACGTACACAGCTTCTGTCTGGTATAAACCCTGCTTCAAGCTCCAATGCTGAAAAAACAAAGATTTGGCTACCATGTGATAATCACTCAGTTGAAGTTGGCCACTCAGTTCTCAGAGTAGAACACCAATAATGCACATAGACAGCCATGCAGCTGACTGTAAATCAAGGTGGAAAGAACTTGAAACATACAAAGAACAGCAAAGCATAAGTCATAGGAGTATACTGGAATCATCATCCTAAAAGATAAGAATACTGAGTTATGGACAAATGTTAGTAAATAACTACTTAAAATAGTCAATGAGTAATCAATACATATTAACCAGTTGTCCTTGGACATGTCACCATCTAACAATTGGAAAAGGAAGTCAATTCTACCTATCACACAAAAGAAGGCACACTTATTTATGGAAGTTTAAGAACAGCTACAGAAAGTCTATACCTGAAATGATGTCCCTACTTTGAGAAGCTAAAGACATTACCTGGGCCTACTTGGATGACCCAGGATGGCCCTTTTGATGTAGACTGACTAATACCCTCACACACATGTGAAGCCCCTTCCACCAGCATGGCCACTCAGCAATGCCACCTCTCTGGAGACTGGATCTCAGTCACTTTCTTCTTAGGTTCAATGAGTCTAACAGGGTCTCACATCAAATAAAACGTTGGTGATGTTAAAAAAGTTTGAAACAAATGGGAAACTTTACTGTGGTCAACAGTTGGGAGACATTATTGAACATCCAGCTCTTCTCAAACAAAGATACACATTTCACACAATCCCAATTTCTATACTAGGAATATATAATAGTAGGAACAGACAAAGAATATATAATAATCTATGCCATCTAGAATTTTATGGATATGGATGTGGTGTGTCAAAGGAATTCAAACTTGAGGGTTAATATGTTAGGCGAAGGCTTAAAGCTGTTCTTGTGGATGGTAGGGAGAAATACTGAGTAATTGAGCAATAGATGAAGTTAGGATTATAAAATCACTTTGTGGTGATTTTGTCTAGAAAGTGGATTTAGACTAGATGATGGAGATAGTTGGAATGTCCAAAGTCAGAAACTGGTAGTAGAAGACAACTTTGTGAAGATAACACAGAGAAGAGCTACAGAGACCCTAGATATACTGCACACCCAAATCTGAAGAACGTGGAACCTACAGTAGCCAAGAAGGCATGAGGTTGGCATTTGACTACGGAATATCATCACATAATTTAGACACACATCTGGTAAAGGCAAAGAAATAAAATGTTGATAGATTTTAGCCACAAATAAATATGCAAGAGTTTAACAGCTCAGAGATAGAGCAGTTCCTAATAATAGAGGTTTTTATGTGTACATGAAGGTAAGTTACTAGCCAGTTATTAATGTGGAAGTGCTTGGAGAACATTTCACATTAATATGTTCTTCCATGAAAACAAGAGAGCTGTCTTATCAATTTGGAAATTATAAATATACAAGATGATGTTTGGAGAAAAGCTTTGTAAACCAAGATATAAAGACCACAATGAATGCTACAGTTTGAATGTGAAATATTCTAAGTTGGCTCATGTGTTTAACAATTGGTACCAGATGTGAAGTTTTTGTTTCTTTTGGTTTCAATTTTTGTCCTATTAGTCTTTATCTTGTTTCTTTTGATGTGTGTGTGTGTGTGTGTGTGTGTGTGTGTGAGAGAGAGAGAGAGAGAGAGAGAGAGAGAGAGAGAGAGAGAAAGAGAGAGAGAGACAGACAGACAGACAGACAGAGAGACAGAGACAGAGACAGAGACAGAGAACTTAAACTGTGAGGGCTAGGGAGGTAAGGAGGGCCAGGAGGAGTTGGGAGAAGAAACTAACATGTTCGAAATATATTGTATGAAAATAAATTAATTTTAAAAGAAAATAAGAAATAGATTGCAAAAAATCAAAGAGGAAACAAGTGAAAATGTCTTTTTGACTGGATAGCAACAGATGATTTTTTCCCACCATGTGTATTCTTTGCATTATGGGTGGAGAGTCTAAAGATGAAGTGTAGTCACACAGAGGCGATCGTCATCTACATGCCATGTGTCTCCCTGGAGAAAAGAAGGTGTTTTCATGTACATGCATACAGCACCTTATCACTCAATGGATACCCAAAAGTGTAGTGATCTCCTCCATAGCACAGACAACTATGCTTGTTTGTCCTCCTTCACATTGCAGACATGCCAGACCCTGGCAAAATGCATAGCAAAAGAATGAGGTAATGTGAGTATAGACAGAAGAATAAGAAATGGAGAATCATTGGCTGTCCATAACAATGCTTGCTGTTATGACAGAAAATAAAACTAAGACATTAAAAAGCAGAAAGTTTAAATGAAAGAAGACTCTGAATTAAAACAAAATATGTTGACTGAAACATCATTCAGAGGTCAAATATCCTGTGAACAATGGCAGGATATCCACTTCAGTAGAAATTACAGGATCAGAGTGGAAAGGGGTGGGATTTGGTTCAGTTGACAGAGTGCTGGCTTCAATGGACATCACCACATAAAGTCAGCATGGTGCCACATACCTGAAATTCTAGCCCTTTTGGGGTGGAGCCAGGAGGATCAGAAGTTCAAAGTTACTCTCTGCTACACAGTTTGAGACACACCTGAGCTATGTGAGGCCCTGTCTCACACTGAAAAAGGGAACCCTTTAAGATTTACAGATGAAACCCAGAAATGAGGCCAAGGGAGGAGAATAAAGGTAGACTTGTGGATGAGAAGGATCACGGAGACTTTGCCAGTGTAGACTAGAAAAGACATGGGCATGGCAAAGTTGACTCTATCTCAGATACCCTTTAGAGACCAGGAGACAGGGAAAGCATTCCCAGTGAGCAGAGAGGGGAGTGTGCTGCCATCAGGGCCAGGAGTGGGGCCGCCGGAACTGACTGTGCAACCTTAAACGAGAACGCGTTTCTTAAATAATGCTGAGAAACGGGAGAAGAGCTCTTTGGTATCCCATTCCCTGGTGGTAAGGAAGCACACAGTTTTCACCTTCTAGTTTGCTTCCGTTTTCCAAGGATGCAGTGCCAAGCCATAGGAAAACCCACAGGACTCAGCCCTGACTGCAAATCACGGTGGACTACGGGCTTGGCTGGGCCTACCTCATCTCCTTCATGTGCCTCAGCATACTTTGCTTGAACTTTTCTGTTCTCCATTGTTCGACAACGATCAGGTGCTTCTGTCTTAACTCCTCCATCTCTTTCTTCATCTTGTCCACTTGGAAGATTCCTTTGAGTAGAAGGGTCCGCTCGTTGTTGGTGTTCTGCACTAAAGAATGGTCAAGTGCGTTCAGCTTTTTTTCAGCTAGAAACATGGTTTTCCGCTCTCTAACTTTTTCAAGGTAGGCAAGCTTTTCCTTCCAAATTTGCCGTAAGCCTTTCTGGATTGCCTCGTTATCCCTTTCCATCAGTTTCTGTGCCAAAATGGTCTTCTTCCTTAAAGACTCTCGAATGCTGTACCTAGCCCTAGACCGGGCAGCCTGTGCCAAGACTACGACTGCTGATTTTTCTGCTTGCTTCTCTTGGTGCTTTCGGTCTGAGTGATATTTATCGAGGTCATTAAACATGAAGAGCTTCATACCTGCCCTCTGTGAGGCTAAAAACTCTTTCCTTTTCTTCAGCTCCTCTAGTGTCTCTCTTTTAATTGGTGGCTTCGGATGAGTGCCAGGAATTGGCTGCAGATAGTCTGAGAAGTAGTCCGGTTTCATCTCCTTCAACACTGAACCATACTTGAGCGATGGAGAGGAATATAAAGGAATCTTCAAGGTAGATACCCTAAAACTAATGTCCATTTCTTCATCCTCAGAGTCAGCTTTAGACTCCTTCTGACCTATATCAAAGCAGACAGAAAAACAACGTAAGAGCTAAGTTTATTTTCCCTCAAGGACCTTGGAAACTACATAAAATATGTTAGGAGGAAACACAATCACTTTAACCATATATCCCCCCTCTGCCAGGGATTTTAACTTGTGATATTGGATAAGAAAACCAGATTACAGCATCTTTGCATGTAAATGTTCTTGATATGATTTTGCTGTGCTTTGTACCACCTCTCCCAGTCATTTAAGGCACACACCTCTGGTGGTGTCACATAGTACTCACTACTAAGTATATAATGCTGAGACACAGTTTTCATGCACACACTCAGACATGTTTTATGGAGTTAGACATCATGTTTTTTTATATGCTTAGACACAAAGTTTTTTGGTAGTTTGCTCAAAGGAAAAACTTCACATCAATTAAACTGAACAAGTTACAAAGAACGCTTACGCCACAAGTCATCAGTGGTGATACCCTGTGCTAGGAGCAGATAGATTAATTACGGTTCATTATTTGCTGGTTTGGACATGGTCTGGAGTGGTCCCGACTCTACTGCTTGTGATTGGCTGTTACTTGGCTTCTTTGTCTCAAGATAATTCTTCACTGGCTTATTAGCTTTGTGCATGAGGTTGTTAGCTGAGGGATCTTAGATAGGCAGCTTTATAAAGGCCAAATGTACCTTAAAACGGCAGTATTAGCCTGTGTTTTGCCAGTGGGGTTGTTATTAATTCACTTATATTTCTAACTATAGAGAAAGCCAGTAGCTGTACATCAAAATGTTTCTCATTTTCTTCTGTATTTTCAAAAGACATTTACAATATTCAGCTCCCTTGCTTTGCTACTGCATGAGAGGATGAGATGAATCCCCACCCACCCCCAGTAGTAAACAAAGATATATTGTCTCATCTTCTCTGAGGCCCTTAAAGAACACACATCCCATTTGTTGTCTTCCCATTTCCTTCTAAACACTGTACAAAAATGAGGATGAAACATCCCATAAAGAACCCATGGGAAAAGAGAGTCCCTGGTAAGAGAAGCACTGCAAACAAGTGTTACAGCTCTGGAGGGAAAGGTATCCTTGATGCTGAGGTATAGTGGGGGATGGTCTCTAACAGATGTAGCAATCCTACTCCTCTCTGAGAGAAAGGCTTCACAGCTGAGCTCTGCTCTGTTCCCCTAAGGGCATGTCCTAATAGAGCTATCCATTGCTTCTTTTGCCCTGGACCAAGATGTTACTTCTTCTGCCTCACTCTGCTAAGGGAAAATCCCTGCAGAAATGTAGCAATTTCTGTGGCTCCACTGACAAGGTACTTTTCTTCTCAGACCCCCTAAGTGCACAGCTCAGCAAAGGTTTTCAAACTCCCTGCTGGTGAAAGAAGATCTTCACTCAACATTCTTTTAACAAAGAGATGTATTTGGGAAGGAAGAGTCCAGGATAGTGGCTGTCTCTACCAGGGAGGGAAAGGACAGCCTGCAACGAAACAGTCAGAGGGGCTTATATGGGGCTTCTTAGGGGCAGATGAGATGATTCCCAGGGAGATGATTTTTCTGTTCAGGGATTGGTTGGTTCAGTTGGTCAGACACAGACTTGGCTCTGGTTTCAGGGCCAAACTGTGTTTCTTTCACAGGTCCACTTTAGTTTTTGGCTCTATTTTCTGGGCAAAGAATGCTATTACTTTCATTGTCTCTGGTTCCAAGGTCAAAGTGTGTTTCATTGGTTCTGGTTTCAGGGCCAGGGTTGGTGTCTTTGGCTAGCCCTTTTACCCTACAACCAACACTTGAAACACTAATCATACATCAGAATAATCCAACTGGGACTCTGTTACGATAAATCTTTCTACCATAATATCACCTGAGCCCCACCACCAAGTGTGAGCTTTATGCCAGCTGACTGCCAGAGTTAGGCCCAAATAAATACACAGAAACTTGTATTAGGTTCAAAGCTGCTTGGCCAATGACTAGGACTTCTCATCTGCTAGCTCGGTCTTAATTATCATAAATCTATATATTTTATAAGACTTATCTTATCGGATGCCTTATTGGCGTCCCTCCTAGCCGGTGCAGCAGCGGAAGGGAAAAGAGGGAAGCTTCCTGTTTCTCCTTCTTTAAATATAAGTCTCATTGCTATGTCACTTCCTGCCTGGATCACCACTTCTCTACTACATTTCCCAGAATCCTCTTTGTCTCCTAGTCCCGTCTAACTTGCTGCCTCATTGACCATCAACAGGAAGCAGTTTAGAAGGAATGATGCCCAAATCCCCCAATATTGTTTATAAATGTTTGTTTTCATTTAAATGGGGATGGTTATAAATGATAATGAACATAGTCAATCTCTTTTTAAAGAAAGAAAAGGGGAAATAAGATATAGGAATGGGTACTTTGCATTGGTGTAGATTTTTGTTTATTGGTACAACTTTGGGGTCAATTTTGTGATGTGTATATGTCTCCTCTTGTGTAGGTGTTGTGTTTATACAGATCTTTTAAAATGATATGCATAATTAAATAAGGTTATATAATTACCTATGATAGTCAGAACTTATAATTGGGTTAGTTGGGTTTTCTAGATTTACAGAGATGTATTTGAGATGGATAGGTATTCTTCAGACCTTTCAAAAACCTATAGAAATATGGCATTTAAATGGTTTAGGGTTTATCTTGGCAGAGGGACATGACTGCTCCTGGAACACCAATTATGTCAGAAAGGAGGATGGGCATCAAAGAAATTCATTATGGAGTTTGCTTTCAACATGGCAAGATTAGCCATTTGGGCAAGAAACTGCTCTTGCCTGGACTGTTTGTTGCTGTATAAACTGGACATGTAGGACCCACAAGAAAGTGACTGCTGAACTTACAAAACAAGACAGTACTAAAGGGTTCCTTTTGAAATGGAGAAGTGTGCCAGACACACTGTGGCCTATGGGCTGAAGATGGATGCTCCAACGTTACAGAGGAATTTTGGGTGACTGTCCAGGTAGTGAGATGTCTCTGTCAATTCTAGAATTTATATATTATCTTTCTGTGGTCTTTAATAGAGTTGAAGACAGATAGTTAAGGTTACAGTTTTCTTCACTTATTATAAAAGATAGGTTATCCTTTTATTTTGGACAGAAAAGAGGAGATGATGGGGGAAGTACTTCTGTGTATGTTTATCTTATTGACTGTTTAATAAAGTTCTGCTTGGCCAATGAAATGGCAAGTTGGGCAGGACTAGGAGTCAAAGAGGATTCTGGGAAATGTGGTAGAGAAGTGATGATCCAGGTAGGAGGTAACATAGCAAGGAGAATCATATTTAAAGAAGGAGAAACAGGAGGTGTCCCTTTTTCCCCTCCGCTCCTGCTCCAGTGGCACAATGTGATCCACCAGCAAAGAGGGACGCCAATAAGGCATCTGATAAGTCTTATAAAATATATAGGTTTATGATAGTTAAGACTGAGCTAACAGATGAAAATCCTAGTCATTGGCCAAGCAGCATTGTACCTAATACAAGTTTCTGCATATTCATTTGGGTCCATGGCGGTGGGGCTCGGGCAGGTTTTGGCAAAAAGATTTATCATAACAGGACTCTGATGGAGATGAACATAAATGAGAACTAGGCATGAGACCATATTCATTTTGGGGTCTCTTTGTTACGACTGCCAGCCTGATTAATACAATCACTAACATTCTGTTGTTTCCATATTTACTCTTCATTAATCTATTTATAAATAAGAAACCACAGATAGAAAAGATTATATAAAGCATAGATATAAAATCTCACTAATCTCAGGAAAGAAGTGTTTCCTGTGTGAGACTTCCTTTCCCTGCTTGAGATTGGATCTCTGTCCCTGTTTAGTGACTTTATATCATCACTCTTCCGGGATCACTTTCGTGTCTTTATGTTAAAGTTGCTAAAGAAGACAGTGGCAGGTTCATGGAAGCAGAGATGGCTATGAAGAAGAGCATGGTGTATACCACACACAGGCAGTTGGAACAGAGAGAAATGACAGGTAGTATAGCTAAATTCCCAAAGGATATCCATATGAGGAGATCAAGCAATGTATACCATTGGACAATAAATTAAGCAAACAGTTACAAAATGTAAAACTTGAGGATAGAAAGGCAAGGTATCCAAAAGTAAATATAAAACAATGGCTGAAAACAGACAGTGGGATCACATTGGTTAAGCCAGAGTCTCACACTGTCTGCCTGAATAGCCCTGAGACTCTTCTACATCTGTGTGGCCTCTTTGTACCCACAGCATTGCCCCAGGGGCCACTCATGACTGTTAGTTTGCATTCCTGTAGTTCGGCTCTGTGTTTCCCTGCCCTTTGTACAAAAGCAATCAAACTTCAGTGTTTTCTCACTGCCAGGATGGAGGCCGGTGCTAACTTCTAGCTGTGGGTCACACGTTATGGAAAGAAGCAGCAGTGTAAGGAACTGACCTCTAACATACATACATACATACATACATACATACATACATACATACATACATACACATGCATCATATTTGCTTGTTACCCAGCCTTCTGGGTGCATTTATGTTTTGTGCAGAAAGGACACATTAGAATAATTCAGAATGTTGTGGAGATGATGATGGCTAAAGGCCCTCTTCGGTATATGAGGAGGAGATGGGCAAAAGCTTTGCTGCTGGTATTCAGTACTCAAGACTGTGGTATCTCAAACTTATCTTTGAAAATTAGAAGCAGCAATACATTGGACTTTAAGAGAGGGAAAAAGAAAAGGTTCAGAATTGTGGAGTTACTCATACTTTACCCACCTCAAAGACATTTGATTGTAGTATGATTGAATTGAAATTATGAGAATTGTAATCTAGCCAATTATGTGCCTATTGTTAATAATCATACTGGAATTATTAATGTTTTCCACCTTTGCTATGCTATATAAGTGTTAATGGATAGAAAAAAGTCAGAGCTCATTCTGGCAAGAATTTGACATGATGGTAATCTAATGAGTTGTTAGGTACAATGTAATTAACAGGGCAGATTTAGATTCTGATATAGTTAAAAC